ATGAGGACGTTTGTTAGGGAGACGGTTCGCACGTGGCGCCTTGGGTCGGTCTGTTCCATTTTTTTCGAAGGGGTGTTCCGTTTTGGGAACAATGGCAATTAGTCGGTTATCCAGGTAAGTATTCACGAAATAGACATATATATTTATATATATATATATATATACTGGCCAGTAATTTTTATGAAAACCCAAGCACTTCTGGAGTTGGATAAGAACCACATACAACATTAAACCAAGATGGTTGTATACAAACCCAATAACGAAGCTATAATTTTTAACAATACACCAGTCCTTTGTTCCAGCACTAAATTAATTCAACGGCATTCCAAATTTTATTTTAAAATAGTGCATATCTATTTAAATTTGAATTATAAATGATATTTGAACTACACAAAAGTCATTAATATTGGTGTTTTTGTTTCTGTTTCTGCTGAAGCACTAAATATAAATAATATTATGCAAAAACAATGACATGTTATAATGAGTTTATACAATAAATTTATTTAATTAAATAATATGTTTATACCACAATTGTTATTAGAATATTACCGTATTCATACAGTCGACCCCAACCAGCACTCACACATTCAGTACCGACAGCAAAATCTTCACCAAAGCAAATAGGCTGTATAAATGCACTGTAATTGACTGGTCTTTCTAGCCTCAGAAGGGCAATGTCATTCGCTAACGTATAATAATCATAGTCTGGATGGGGAAGCGCCTCAGCTACACCAACATCCTCATAAAAGACTGAAGAATGAAACTCAAGATCTGTGGTGCCGAATCTGATGTAGTCTATTCTACCACTAAGAGAAAAACACATATTTTACAATAAAGTTAAGCATTAGTTCTCCGTCTCTGTTCACACAATTAGAAACAATGATACCATAAGAAATGCTTATATAGCCATGCATAAGTTACGTAAAACAAATTGGTTAGAACTATCACACTACAAAAATGTGAATGAAAATATATCAATTGGTCTAGTCGATAAGGATGTTTTCCAAACTGAACAATAAATTATATTAAGGTTTTATAGACGATTTAGTGAAAAACATATACAATACTTATCTAAACCCTTACAGACAATGAGCAGCTGTCAATGCCCATTCACGATCAATTAATGCAGCACCACAATAATGAGATCCATATACTGTGATTGAACCAATCCACGGCCATTTCCCTGGTGGTACATCTTCACCTCCAACAATCCTATCTTCAGCAGGTAAGAAAGGTTGTGATCCACATTTTTCAGAAGTAACTGTTATAAAGAAATAGCTTTTATTTCATTTTCATTTATTTATTTTCCAAATTGTTACAAACATCACAAACCTAGCACTATTCTGGTGGATTGTCACAAAGCAAACAAATTCACTGTGCAAAGACTCTCCAACTAGTACTAGAACAGAAACAAACAGGGTTTAATTAACATAAAAAGAAGACAAAGCAGAGAAAAAAGCGCAATCACCAAAAAGCAATAAATCGGTAACAGAAGAAGAGATCTCATCAGACATCCGTGGATGACATAAAAACGGAGTTTTTATGTCATAAACCACAAAATTCTAAATAGGACTTATTTCCAGTGGGGTCCTTCTGGTGGTGATTAAGCAGTACACCGGGACACAAGCCAATACTATATTCCAAATAGTGATACCGCATTCTTTAACGTGCACATGGGCCATAATGCACAATAGACCAATGGCTTAAACGCCTCATCCAAAAGTAACTTGTATTTCAGCCCTCCAGCTGAAACACAAGGAAAGCAGCAATATGAATTAAACTGGGGACCGCTTAGAGATGTCCACGCTTCAGTGCACACACAGTGGCTACCACCAGTTTAGCCGACTAAGCTAACCTGCTCTCACCAATCGTCACATTGGTTGTAAGATTAAGCATGGTATACCTATGAAGAAAAATGTCAGTACAGTGCCAATAGGATTTTGGCAGACGACTCACAATTTCTTGAAACTTACTCAAGTTAGAGTAAAAATAGTGATCGACATAACAGGTTTTAGTCTGATAATGGATGAATTTATTCGGTGTAAACACCAAGGATAACCCACAAAAGTCTAAATAGGACTTATTTCCAGTGGGGTCATTCTAGTGGTGATTGAGCAGTACCCCGGGACACAATCCAATACTATATTCTTTAACGTGCACATGGGCCATAATGCACAATAGACCAATGGCTTAAATGTATGCATTTTTTAAAATAAAAGCGGATAGGCCTACAAGTGCCAGGTACCAAGGAGACAGAAGCCTGTAAGGGGACCCCAGACCTAATCTTAAACTACAGTAAAGTCTAGAGCTTATCTCACACAAATTAAACACAAACAGATAATGAAAGATAAACAATAGAGTGTAAAAAAAATTAAATAATATTAATAATAATAAAAATAATAATAATAGTACAGTACAACGATATATATATAAATCTTCAAGGTATTTCAGTATTCCATAAATTCCACCTACAAACAATGAAAAAGTGTGGTGTGTGAAACGTTGAGTCTACAATTGAGTAAATACCATCACTTAAAATTGTGAAAAAGTAAACAATTACATAGATATATACATTACTATACTATAAAATACAATAGTTTGAAAAATTATTTTTTTCATGTTTAAAAAAAATCCGCTGGCACTTAGTCACATTAGACAACAGATAATGAAAGATAAACAATAGAGTGTAAAAAAAATTAAATAATATTAATAATAATAAAAATAATAATAATAGCACAGTACAACGATATAAATAAATCTTCAGGGTATTTCAGTATTCCATAAATTCACCTACAAACAACGAAAAAGTGTGGTGTGTGAAACGTTGAGTGTACAATTGAGTAAATACCATCACTTAAAATTGTGAAAATGTAAACAATTACATAGATATATACATTACTATACTATAAAATACAATACAGTTTGAAAAATTATTTTTTTCACGTTTAAAAAAATCCGCTGGCACTTAGTCACATTAAACACAGCAATCCCTCTCTGCGAATTGCTCTTACCATTCCAGCAGCCTTGTTCATCTGACCAATCAAGACAGTTATTTTCTCGGTCACATCGTTTTGCAGCGGCAATACAGACACCATTCGCACACTGAAAACTGTCGTCGCTACAAGCTGTAAACAAAAAATCATCGTTTTATAATACAATTAAAGTATATTGATAATACAGTGTCATGTTTATATTTTGTTTAGCGTTATGATACAATTGGTAGAACGCGTACAGATAGCGTTTAGAGATGAACTGAGGGTTATAACAGGGAGGCCTACCAGTAGGGTGAGCTCTTATTTAGTCAAATGAGCATTTTATATTTAAAAATAACAAATTGTTGTTTGGTATACAAATAAAGATTATACAGTAATTAAGATATTAAAGAAAATTTTGTGAAATAATTCCTATATTAAAAAATACAAATTAATCAATGGCTCATTTGCTTTAGTTGTAAACTTATTGAAAAATTTAACAATATAAAGAAAGATATGCAAACACTTTGATTTAGGAAGATTCTGCGCATTATACCCAAATACTACAAATTGGAGTTCATGCATATCAAAGATCTTATAAACACAAGATAGCGTTCTCCGCGATTTACGCATAACAAATAGAAGCGTCGGTCAAGGTTCAAAAGTTTCCAATTCATGCGCTATTATACCAAAGAGAAGTAATCAGTTTTGGAAGAGGGCGTCCTATCTGTTGCCATGGATCTGAGATGGTTCCTGTTCTGCTGTTCACAGGATTGATACCCAAGGTAAAAAGTCGTGCGGTGACGGTATGGTCAAAGCGGTCAAGGGTCAAAAGTTTCCAATTTAGCAAGAGAGCGCCATTCATGCCTTATTACAGAATTTGCACGCGTAAATCGCGGAGAACGCTATCTTGTGTTTATAAGATCTTTGGTTATTATACCAAAAAGAAAAGGTAATCAGTTTTGGAAGAGGGCATCCTATCTGTTGCCATGGATCTGAGATAGTTCCCGTTCTGCTGTTCATGCAGGATCGTGCAGGATTGATACCCAAGGTAAAGTCGCGCGGTGTATGGTATGGTCAGAGCGGTAAAGGGTCAAAAGTTTCCAATTTAGCAAGAGGGTGCCATTCATGCCTTATTACAGAATTTGCACGCGTAAATCGCGGAGAACGCAATCTTGTCTTTATAAGATCTTTGATGCATATTCTATGCAAAGACTCAAAATTTGTAGATTGCACCCTAGCATTTGTGTACAATGTTTATTTATTTCCATACTTACGGCAAGACTGTAGCTCGTCACTGAAGTCAGCACAATCAATGATTCCATCACACACTTGTTCCAATAGTACAAATTCAAAATCACCACATACAAAAATTTCTAAAAAAAAACAAAAAAAACAATATGCTATTAGGATATGCTTAGAATTTATCACACATCAAACAATATTCGGGCGGTGAATCAAAGATAATACAAACATTACAACCATCAACAGTCATTTATTGTTTTATAATTGTTAAGAAGTTATAAAACATACATTTTTATGTGACAACATCCATCACAATAAAGAGATGATTGCCATAATTTTGAAATCACCTCCATCAAAGAGTTTACTGCCACCAGAAATAGATACCCCTTCATCTTAGGGGAGGTTTTGTAATTTTGTAATATAATGGAAACGCATAACACTTTACACTGCCTTTGTATATTGGGTCTATTTAGTATATCATTGCATTTTACATTGTTATAAATACCATCAATTGTTATTTTTTAGATTAAGATGTTAAAGTAAAGCACTGTTAAACAATCAATTGACAAAAAATAGCATAAATTGTAAACAAAAAATGAGCTATAGGAATGATATATTTATAAGTGGTGAGCAATTTTGTAGGTGAATGAAAGTTGTTCTGATTAGAAGTATTGAGGTTGAGAATTGTAGAAAGTGGGAGTAGAAATTAGCAGTTTTTGAGTAGGTATTTGTAGCAATAACTACATGCAGAAATTAACTAGGATAGCTTGTTCAATATTTTTTTACGATCAGATGCGATGATGTATTATTTTTCGCTCGTTGAATTATGGTTCACTTTATGGTAAAGTGGGTGTTCCTGCTTTTCAGTTTCATTTCATTTATTTCATTTCATTTATTTCATTTCATTTATCTAACCGAAAACAATTACAATATAAAAGGGTAAAACATTCAAAAAGAACAAAAAAGATACAATAAATGTTGGTCTCTAATTCCCCACAAGGGCCGACAGGATAACCAAAAAGTAAAATAAATTACTGTCAAAGTGGGTTTCCATCCGATGTGGGAAATCAGAGAACAGCAAAACACACAGACAATGTGTTCTCATATTTACTTGGACAGTCTTGTCCCGCGGTGGTTGAAAAAGTGGTTGTGTGCAGTGTACTGTGACTGTAGTTGACAGTTTTTCCATTAGACCAATATAATGCTTGGTGTCATTTTGTGTAGTGATGTCGGTTTGTAGATAAAGTTGTAGATGAGGCAAATTCCATTTAATATTAATGGGCACTCATTTTTCTGTCTGCATTTGCAGTCCACACAAAGAATTACCATTACGTTTTATTTTACTTTGACAATGACAATACAGTTTACATCTATTAAATCAAACTTACCACTTAAATCAACTGCTTTCACAGTTGCATTGAAGCCTCTGTAAGTTACACTTCCATCTGTATCCATTACTACCAACAATTCGTTGCTTTCAGACAATACAGAGTGGAAGTTTACTCCCGTAAAACTGATATCAGTCATGTTTTCAGAAATTATCCTCACATAATCATATCTATTTTCAAGGCTGAAGTCATTGAACTCGAGCAGTATTGCTAGATCCTCTGGGACATATATTATCCATTGACAATACAAGTTATTGTAGTAATTGTTCGGGTAATTTGGAGACGAAAATGATTGCGATTGGCCAGAAGTGTTCAGGTGTATAAACGATGGTTCACATGCAACTGAAAATAAAATATATCAAAATTTGTTACACGCATGAAGTAATAGTATACATAAATATAATAAAAAAGAAATATGACGTATAAAATAAATAAAACGTTTTGTCATTACACTGTAAAATCAGCGTGGAGGATTTAAATTCAAAGCCCCACGCAATGTTGTCCTGCTTTTGGTGACATGTTTAAAAACTAAACGTGTTTAGATATATCTTAACGTGCTTAGGGTCTTAACATAATTAGAACTAATGTGCTTAGATATTTAACATCATGGTGTCAAACACCTAATGCTAAACACGTCAGAAACCTAAACACATTAAGCTTTTAATGAGGTCACCAATGACGAGACAACATTGTGTGGAGCTTTGCATTTAAATCCTCCACGCTGTAGACCTAACATCATAAAAAAAATATCATTTTATTATAATCATCATAATCATCATCTTCCCCATAATCACCATCATAATGGTTTTGATATACAAATAGTTCATCAAAGTGGTTGATTCATACTCATTATCTGTCACCCCTCCCCTGACATATACACAAGCAGATAAAAGCAACATTGTAACTACCTCCCTACAAACCTCCTTTTAAAAAGTTATACTTTGAATTATGTGATTTATTATATTTTACCAATATTTCGTATTTCTGAGAGTGAAAAAATGACCCCTTTTTTAACTTATGATATCTCCCATATGCAAATACTGGAAATCAATTTTCAATGTGAGTAATATCCAAAGTTGATTTTCAATACTGTAAAAATATAAATGATTAAAAAAAACTGAATTTCACAGTAGCCATGAAAACAAATCACATTTATTGACTTTGACCAATGGCACATCCATATAAAAAATAAAAAGAAAAACCATTTCTTTTTCTTCTTCCCTTAAGTACACAAATTGACACAACAAAAAGGAGAAAAGGTAAAAAAACAAATGAGGCAAGCGATAATAACTGAGGAAAAAAGGCATAAAAAATGACGGAAATACAGTAGAAAAAGATTTAACATTCACAGAAAGATCGTGTAGGCCTACGTTTTCTTATATAGAAAATTGCATTTTCAATTATCTGGAGCTCTACATTTTTCCTACAATTTAAAATGTTTTAATTTTAGTTATTAATACGTTTAAGATCTCAACAATTATTGCATACGTTTATGTGGCTGCGATCTGATTTATGATTGCATTTTGAGATTCAGAATCATCAATGTTCTACTACAATAATCTATTTTTTTGTTAAATATTCTTATAGTAATAATAATAAACAAATAGTTACATGTTAATGTCGGTATTAAACGTTTACTGTAAATAACTTAACACTTCACTTATTACACAAACATTAATGATACAAACCTGGAGGCTGATATGTCGGAAAAACAGGAAAACAATTCAACTCATCTTCACCAAAAGAACATTCTTCAACATTATTACAAACGAAAATGTTGTCTAAACATAGACCATCGCGACACACAAATCCACAAGGATCTAATAAATCAAAATATAAAACACCTTTATGTATAAACATATAAACATATATTATATATATATACATATATATATATATATATATATATATATATATATATGCAATTAACATCTTTGGATTGGTTATTGCAGATACTTAGTACATTCATAAATAGGTCAATCATTTTACAGTTCATATAATCTTCCCTAATTTGCTCACTGTCACCTATATTTTTAATAAATATAATAATGTTTCATGTTTTTTATTAATCTCCCTGATGAAGGCCACAGGAGTTATTAAATCAGTGTTCTTAAAGTCTACTATTGAAGTTGTTTCATTTTAATCTGTTTTTTTTTTTTATTATTCTGACGGACCACACATGGAACGCCAACGCAATTCAACCGATCGATCTGCATCACCGAAAGCTGTTGGAGATAGTGTGTAGCGATTGTATGTGATACCAAGCTTTATTAAGATCCAACAGGCTGTCATAAACACACTTTTACGTGTAAACAATAGTGAAAAGAGCACTTGATGATAGTGTGTACAGCTGACATTTCCACCCTATGTGATTAATAATGTACTATTGATATTCAGAGCCTAGAAGCGGATCATTAAAGAACCTCTCTTGAAACATTCTATAGTGCAAGAAATTGGGTTTTTAACCTTGTGTCATTTGAGTATAATCTACTATCACACGCTAGTTTCATACAACTGTAAAA